ATGCTCAGTTATCACCTCATCATCAACAAACTGACATGGACATTCTTGCTTCTCTGCTCTTTGCAATTTACAACAGTCTGAATGAGTGTCCTGAAGCTTTTTCATGCCAAGGTATCTACTGTTCTACACTAATTGTCCAAGATTCAAAGCCAAATGTTTAATCTGGTTCCATCTAGGCAATATGCAAGAATTCATTTTCTAACCTTCAACTCCGAACATGGCCAAAACACATTAGGTCCTTTTTTAATAAAGACCATGCAATACCAAGAGTAACTCATCAACATATGCTGAATTTCTAGGGCATATAGAATGATTTATTAAAACAACAATAAATGTAATTGTTAAATATGTTATAATAAGCTATCACAACTACCATACATCAGTAAATGTATCTCATATTTTTAAGATAAAATGCACCCTCGTAAGCAAAAACACATCCGAACAGAGCTGTTCTTTAGACAAAATCAATGCTCTTGATCCATCAACAAAATGACACACACACATTTCTCTCTTTCCTCTACTGAGTAAACTATATACTGTGAAAACAAACTCTGAAGATTGTCTTTTAACAGCGAATAAAGAAATAAATCCTTTCTATTGGGTGATGGAATAGCAACTTTGTGTTGGTGAAACAAAACACATTAAACAGATTCACATATGAAATGGTCACAGATCAACAGTACATAAAATCCCATTAAACAACATAACTGATTACAAAAATATACATCTCTGTTAAAATATGAATGAATGTACACATTGAAGTACGTCATACACATAGGGTGTTCCATAAACCCCTTTATGGTGACTGAATATTTGTAACTGCACAAGTCTCATGATGCTCCCATGACACGGTACACAATTATTTTACAACTCTGACTGCGGAGAGACTTTTGGAACACCCCATATATGGCAGCACTACAAATAACAGTTCCAAAAACTTGTTTATACTTGAACAACTTTGACATATTTCTGTCACCAGCCCCAACCCCATCTTCTGAGAGCCATTGTCTTTTACATATTAATGACACTCAAAAAGACAAGGCCTGATTGGACTTCCAGCCTCTGTTAACATCTCAAACATCAGCTGCATCTTAAATGCCACAATTCTAGATATTGATTTTGGTCAAACAATTATGACTGTTACGTTATAAGTTGTTTACATGAATTGTTTGCCTATAATATTTGATACTTATATTGTATATAGCATGTTAGAGGTTGTTTCATTTTACACTTCTAAAAGAAACCGTTTATTATGCTCGGCAGTGTAAACAACGAGACTTTCTTATCAAACTAGTTGCAGTCTTCATGGACATTTCACTCTCTCTACATACAACCGTCGTGTGAAGGATGGGTGGTTAAGCCGAATGTAAGATGGACCAATCTGTGACTATAAATATAATATGTTCATTCTTTCATCTTCTCATTTTTCTGTCAGGCTCTAGGTCTGAATCATGTTTATAGAATGTATTCCCAGAATCCTAGCATCATTTTTTTGTTGTTGTTGTTGATAACTCTAATTCTGTGGAGTCAAACTTGTAGTCTGGCACTTAGGTACTGTGAACAGGCTTCATAACTGCTGAGGCACAGGGTTTGATTCCAGCTGCAAGCAATTTGACAGCAGACAGCCTAGCATTGATAGTGAATCAGGAGCCGACCATTTAGAAAGCAATGGCACACTAAGGAATGTAAAACTGCCCTGTGAAATCCCACACAGCCAAAAAAAAATGTTAGGGCTGGTTCCACAACATCCTTTAAAGGACAGGTTACTATCTATAACTTGTATCACATATGGAGTTTAAAAATGTGTTTGTGTTGTTATCTAGCCTAATCTCTAACTGGTGTTCTGTCTAGTGTCAACAAATTATATAACACCAACTGCACTTACTTTTTCTTTTTGTTCATAAAAAATGTCTGCAAATATATTCACGCCTACTGAACAAAACAGATTTCAAGTCCTGAAAATGAACATAGTTCACAACCTGCAACATTTGATTTCAACTGTAAAAGTGCCTGATTTTCACAAGAGGTAACAATGATACAAAACTTTCATCTGATTCTTCTTCTCTTCCACCTTGTACCTCAGCGAAGTGTCAGAGGGACTTTCATCTAATTAAACACTAGAAGTAGACCATTCCTATGGCTTTCAGACAACAGTGTGAGAGGTTGGGCTCTTACCATGTAATATTCCCAAAAGACAGCAGTGAATGCACATAGAGAGGCCAAAGGTGCTGGACTAGATTCCATCCATGATATCAAAAAGATTGCACAAGAAAGAACCCAGCGGGGGAGTAGACTGTGAGCACTATGTGTGAAGTACAAATGGCACAACACAATGATGAATATTAATTTACACATCAGTGACTTGGTCATCCAGTGGCTCGTCAGTAGACTTCATCACCAATCAAGACAGTATTTGGGTCTGTCTCCTTTCAATACTGCAGGAGTCATTTTGAGGGCTTTTGGTGGCATGCAATGCTAAGCTATTTTATATGGCGCACAAAACCTAGCCATAATTATAACCTAAAGCTGCCCCTTCGAGGATGCTGGTTGAACCTGACAATTTTTTATTTCTTTTTCCAGCATGTTTATTGATTACGCTCTTTATATATCTTTATATACTATGAAAATTTAAAAAATAATTTGAGGTATTCAGGTTTGCGCTGTGAATATTGTTTGCTCGTGCGTTGTTCTTGATACAGTTTTACTGTTGCTATTTTGCATTAAATTATGGCTCCCAGTAATGTGAAAAGTGTAATGCGACAGTGGTGTAAAGAAGACCAATTGTATTACAGCAGAAATGAATAAGAAAATAATAAATGAACATAAGAATGATGTTTGTGTTTATGATCTCGCCAAGCAGTACAATATGGCTAAGTCTCCAATATGTACTATCTTGAAGAGCAAAGACACACCAAAGACGGCTTATGTGGCTAAAGGACTATTTAAACAAAGCAAAGGTGTTAAGAGAAGTAGAAAAATGACTGTCAGCTTGCTGAAGATAGTGTTAGCAAAGCCCAAATATATGAGAAGGCTTAAATTTTGCACGTTGATTTATTCCTCCTTCTCTACCATCTGACTGTGCCGGCAACTGTCAACCATAAAGGTAAAGTTATTCTGCATGTTTTATATTATACATTTTTTGCCTCAAATAAATCTATTAAACATGTTTTTAAAATATGTTACCTCGGCAGATGAATGGATACTGGATTTGCATCGATCGGAATGGGAAATTTTATTTCCTGTTCGCGAATATTTCGGCTGGAGTCAAAGAATGAATTCAGTTCGCGACCTAAAGTATCACTTTATTGCCAACTGCTGTCTGTAACAGATGCTTGATGTTTTGCTTTTCACTATTCAGTTTATCTTTTTCAAGTAACAGCACTGCATAATTTGTGACTGGCTTTTCTCCATGAATGCCACCAATGAGCAATGTATTCTATCTTATGAATTTTGGTTTTATATTCAGCGTCTGATTTGGTAAAAGCACTATTCTGCCATCATCACCATCAAGTGTCCTGCCACCTGGCTTGGACGATCATGCTTCTCCCCATCCTGCAATCACCAACAAAAGTATGCAGACACCCTTCCAACAAAAAGGTGCCAAGAAACTTCCGTTGCTGTCTTCCTCTCTCTCTTTTTAGAAATCTGTTCAGGTGTCACATGTTCCTGGTGTTCTTTTCTCACATTCTGGTCAAAAATTGATGAGCCCTTCAAACAAATACGATTTCCCCACTGGCCACTTCCATAGCAGATGCTCCTGTTTGGAGCTGTGGCTTAGAATTCATCATGTTTTATTTATTATTAAAGACTCTGGTCGAAACATTCGGTTGTATATGTGCCAAGAAAAATAGTCATCATTTTAAACATGTGCCTGCCGATAAGCGCAGGCTATCACCCTGCCGATAAGCACAGGCTATCACCCTGCCAATAAGCACAGGCTATCACCCTGCCGATAAGCACAGGCTATCACCCTACCGATAAGCACAGGCTATCACCCTGCCAATAAGCACAGGCTATCACCCTGCCAATAAGCACAGGCTATCACCCTGCCGATAAGCACAGGCTATCACCCTACCAATAAGCACAGGCTATCACCCTGCCAATAAGCACAGGCTATCACCCTGCCAATAAGCACAGGCTATCACCCTGCCGATAAGCACAGGTTATCACCCTGCCGATAAGCACAGGCTATCACCCTGCCGATAAGCACAGGCTATCACCCTGCCGATAAGCACAGGCTATCACCCTGCCAATAAGCACAGGCTATCACCCTGCCAATAAGCGCAGGCTATCAACCTGCCGATAAGCACAGGCTATCAACCTGCCGATAAGCACAGGCTATCACCCTGCCGATAAGCACAGGCTATCACCCTACCAATAAGCACAGGCTATCACCCTGCCAATAAGCACAGGCTATCACCCTGCCAATAAGCACAGGCTATCACCCTGCCAATAAGCATATGCTATCACCCTGCCAATAAGCATAGGCTATCATGTTTTGTGATCTCTTAGGATCATGAGAATCAGTGAACATGTTAGTGCTCATTTCTCACACCATTCATTTGATCAAGCTGTCCAAGTACATCAAAAATGCAAGTTGACTGCAATGGATCTTTAACATCTTGTCGCTCATTCTAGCTGTATATTCTCCTTTAGTGTTTTTCTTCCCCTCTCTTGATATTACCCGTCCACTTATATCACTGTCTACTTCTTGTTCACTCATCTTCAACCTTTCCCTCCAGTATAGTTTTTTAAAGAGTGTTATGTCTTTCAATGTGACCAAAATATTTCACTTGTCATTTGTTAAATGTCTTTCAACAAATGTCTTTTCATTCCCAGTCTCTTCAGAACCTCTGTATTTGACTTGACTGCTTTTGTTAACAATACATGCCACAAAGGAGGTAAACATTATGCTCAACTTTCAAGCAAATTACTACTACAATCAGCACTTCCCATTGTTGAGATAAACAAGTCTGTCTGTAGCCAGAAGAACTAATCCATTAGTGTGGTATGGAATCTTTCTCATCAATAACATTGTTGCTGTTAATATCCCCCTTGCTGCTGACTGTTGCTGGTTCTTTAACATTATTTGTCACAGCACTCTGTTTGCTCCAAAGCTGGGAGTACAAACTGTCTGGGTTTGATATCAGTTGGTAATGTGTGCCTTTCTCTACCACACAGCCTTTGTCCAGCACCAGGATCTGGTCTGCATCCACCACAGTGGACAGTCTATGGGCAATCACTATAGTGGTTCTGCCAGAAGTTACCCGCCGCAGCGCTTCGAGAATATTCTGAAAGGTAAAACACATCACATTTTAAGACTTCTGAGATCAAAGCAAAAGCTTCATGCATACACATTGAAAACATGTTCACAACATAAAATTAAACAAGGAATGTTAGTACAATAATTACTAAAACAAGTTAAACACACAAATGAACTTGTACAAAGCATGGGCAACCTGTAGAAGCAGGATGTCGATTTTTGTTAATTATCTGTGGATCCAAAACTTTTACAGATCCATTTTTTTTCACATCTCATGATACTTTCTCCTTAGATAATGAAAACTGTCTTTACTGCCTACTGCCTGCAGGTACCACATTTATGGTAGTGATTGATGGGACAGATGGCGGGGAGTGAGAGAGAGTGAGAGAGAGTGAGAGATAGAGAGAGAGAGAGAGAGAGAGAGAGAGAGAGTGGTGTGGGTGTGTGTGTGTGTGTCTTGTCATACTGTTAGGGTTATATAGCAGGAGATGTAACACAATGTGGTTTTGTGGCTTAGAGGTCAGTGATGTGTCATGGTCCTCAACATACCAAAGTTCCATTTCCACTGCAGGTTGTTGAGAGAAAGATTATTCCGATGCCTTTCAGATGATGGTACAAGAGTCACAATGTGGAATAGACTGGGAGTTTCAGAGGATCCCAAAAATCACCAAAGACAGCAGATGATGAACATATCCCACCAAGAGTGCCACACAAAGCTCTGTGGCTCTGGTGATCTCCAAAACACATGCACTAGCAATCAAATGAATGGAAATCAAAGTCAAACCCATACATCATTTAGAGCAGCAGACGAGCAGCTTAATCTCCCTGTGTGTCTTCCCGGACTCCATTCTGGAAGGGGTGGGGGAGAATACACACACTACCCCACATCCAACAAACATATTGTAAAAGTTGACTAATTAGGGGTGTTCTTTTCAAGTGCGAGTGGCGAGTGCAGCTGCCTGAGGGGTGCGGACTCAACAGTTTGCATACAAATAAAATGGATGTGCACTAAAAACTCAAGTTCTTGAATAAGACCAAAGTTCAGAAAGAGACGAACAACCAGAACTATCCAGTGGAGTTTACATTTGGTTAATGCTTAGAAGACTTTACAATGCAGGCCCCTAAGACAAATTGCTGGCAGACAAAGACTAATTAAACAGACCTGTTCTGTAATTGTGTCCAGGGAAGATGTAGCCTCATCGTACACAATAATGGGCGGATTCTTCAGGATAGTTCTGGCTATGGCAATTCTCTGCTTTTCTCCACCTACAGAAGAATAATAGAACATATGAAGTATTCTTCTTGTTGTTTGTTCATCTGGGGATATAACTGTGTTGTGCCCATATACAGAATGGTTGCAATATTTGCACATTTGTTAAACATGTCAGCCTCCCTGGATATAAATTACAGAGGATTTTTCAAATAGATAAAATAAGTGTTTGTAATTTTACCTTTCGCCCCGTAAAATCTTAAAAAAAAAAAAAAAAATTTAAATGACCTTTTTAAAAAAAAAATATGGTTCAAAATAAACATATTAAATCCCTGAAACTCTAAGAAACTAGGAAGAGAAGCAGCTGCAGAAAAATATTTGGAGTCCTGGTCAGTTTTTATAAAAAATCTACGGGATGGAAATCTATGACCAAAGAGCAGAGAGGCAAACCTGCTGTCTACTGTGTCATCACATGCCCAAAGTGCTAAAAAAGAGGAATTTTTGCATTTAGAGTCATTATTTTGTTGAAATAGCCATGTGAAGCAAAGTGATATCACTATGACACTACAATAAAACACACACAGAGACAACTAATTTTTGTTTCCATCCAAAATATTTTTTAAAGTAAATATGAATATATGCTATTGTAACCTATATCAAAGCAGCTATTATACAGGTATAGTGGCCACCACCCAAAGGTGTCAGATCATCAAAAACCCATAAATGTCGGAAAAACAGCTCTCTCATAATACCAAGTGATAGTAAAATGGATATGTAGCAATATACAGAAATATCAGGGAGTGTACTTTCTGCGAGTGAAAACAAACTCATCAACTGGCAGTTGTGTGGATGGGACACATCAGGAAAGGAATGAGAACGAAAGAAGAAATGATTGCAGAAAGGATGAGAGCTGAGCGTCTGAGAAGAAACATACTAAACACACATGTTAACAATGGTCCTGAAATCCCATGCTATACTTGTGGAAGACTTTCCTTAACATGGGCAGGTCTTGCTAATCACACCCGTAATTGCCCTTGTGTGGGGGACCACGGCTTACGTTTCCAGCAGACTTTATCAATGAATGTGTTCCTATCTTTTCTGTGCCATGACAAAGGTTATTAAGAATCCTCTCCTGCTGCATTTCTGTATATCTTTTTCCTGAAATGTGACTACTTGTTACGATTTGTCTCAAGTTTCTCTTGTCATCATGTCGCTGAGAAATATTTGCTTTCTCTTTCTGACATTTGCCTTTTTACTGTCTGTGTAGCTTAGCCTTCTTTAATGTTGACTCCGTCCAAAATGGACAAAATTTTTGTTGGGTTATTTTAAAGATCCACCCTGGCTTTTGTTAGGGGCCTTAATATAACATGACTGAAGAGGGTTTCTGGCACTTGTACCTAAGAGATTTTTATCTGAAAGACGCCATTTTGTATCACCGGGTTAATCACTTGTAGTGCGGTCATAGTGAGGGTTGAATGTCCTCACTCAGCCTTGTTAGAAACATTTAGAGTACTTCTTCTGGCTATCCATTGCATTTTCATTAATATATAACAAAAAAATATGTTAAGGTCTTGTTTAAAAAAATGCCAATATGCTACAGCATTATCATCAAGTGCTGCGATTACTGGTGTGGGCGATCTTGCTTCTTCCCATCTTACATTCTACACAGTACGTATCAATTATGAACTCATATCTTTCGAACAGCTGTCAACAATCTTCTCTTGTTGTCAGACATCATGATTAATTACCATGACTAAAATCATGCATATCTTCCAAAGGTATCCCTAGCTTGTGGCAGAGAGGGAGCTTGAGCTTATCAATAACCTTGAGAGCTATAGGGTGGTAGTGTAACTACCAGTAGGATCTTTCAAGTCAACCAAGGGGTAGAGAACAGACAAAGTGAAACATCATGGTCTTTCTGGTTGGGAACCAAAGCACAGTACAGACAATCCAACTTTTGTAAAGCCTTATTTCAATATGAAACAGATACATATGCCTAGTACAAACGTGTGGAGACCCCAACAGGAAAAAGAAGGCCAATCAGAGAAAGGAATGCTAGTATGTAATATCTGCAGCAATAAACCCCAAGGGATCAGAACATGCTAAACATGCCAATTCACACTAAACATGTTTCATGACTACAATGTGCGCACTTGAAACCTCTTTCTCCTTGCTGTATATCCCATTCATTAATTTACACTAAACATGTTTCATAGCTACAACATGCCCACTTGAAACCCCTTTCTCCTTGCTGTATATCTCATTCATTAATTCACACTAAACATGTTTCATGGCTACAATGTGCCCACTTGAAACCTCTTTCTCCTTGCTGTATATCCCATTCATTAATTCACACTAAACATGTTTCATGGCTACAATGTGCCCACTTGAAACCTCTTTCTCCTTGCTGTATATCCCATTCATTAATTCACACTAAACATGTTTCATAGCTACAACATGCCCACCTGATAACTTGAGACCTCTTTCTCCCACCTGTGAATCATACTTGTGTGGGAAACGATTCACAATGGCATCATGGATTTCTGCCATCTGAGCTGCTTTATAGACTTCCTCCTTTGTAGCTGACAGGTTGCCATAGGCAATGTTGTGATACACTGTGTCGTGAAACAAGACACAGTCCTGAAGAGAACAGTTCAATAAAAACCATAATAGAAAATCACATGACATACAATGTGTCGTGAAACAACACACAGTCCTGAAGAGAACAGTTCAATAAAAACCAATATAGAAAATCACATGACATACAATGTGTCGTGAAACAAGACACAGTCCTGAAGAGAACAGTTCAATAAAAACCATAATAGAAAATCACATGACATACAATGTGTCATGAAACAAGACACAGTCCTGAAGAGAACAGTTCAATAAAAACCATAATAGAAAATCACATGACATTCAATGTGTCGTGAAACAAGACACAGTCCTGAAGAGAACAGTTCAATAAAAACCATAATAGAAAATCACATGACATACAATGTGTCGTAAAACAAGACACAGTCCTGAAGAGAACAGTTCAATAAAAACCATAATAGAAAATCACATGACATACAATGTGTTGTGAAACAAGACACAGTCCTGAAGAGAACAGTTCAATAAAAACCAAAATAGAAAATCCCATGACATGCACTGTGGCGTGAAACAAGACACAGTCCTGAAGAGAACAGTTCAATAAAAACCATAACATAAAATCCCATGACATACAATGTGTCATGAAACAAGACACAGTCCTGAAGAGAACAGTTCAATACAAATCAAAACAGAAAATCACATGACATTCACTGTGTATATTACCTGTTAAAGTATTATAGTCTGATCTCATCAGAAATCAATCTTCCTTTTTATTGGATATGGGACAAAAATTTGCTGGTGGTTACTAGTCTTACAAAAGCTCAAATAAAAAAAAAAAAAAAAAGGCCCACACAGCACTTTTGTCTGGTAACTTATTTGAAAAATTTGAGAAAATGAATGTTGAATTTTGAAGTGAAGATGAGGCAGGGGCTGACAGCATGACGGTCGACAATGGATATCAATGATGCCCCAGGCAAGCAAGTTCACGAGGCGGAACAGTTGGTAAGGGACTGAGTGGCTATCCAGCATGCCATGATGAGAGTGATATTCTGCAAAGGATCTACTACATGATGATGATTACAGTTAAATCTCAGCTGATAAACCTATCACCACCAGCACAATTGTTTTTCCCATTTCCAGTTGAAAAGAAGATAGTGTAACTAGCTCAAGTTATAAACATTCTGGAAATAAAGATAGCAGCCTGTTTGGGCTGTTGGTTCCTTGTCTCTCAAGCTGATGTACTCTGACTTTAAAGGAGGGCCCTCCTAATTAGTTGCCTTGTTGGACATGCTTGGTAGGGAGGCAGTCTATTTTTTTTCCTTCCTCAGAATGGGACCCAGGAATTCACATGGGAAGTCTGCTAGTCCAGAAGTCAAGCTCAAATGCCAATCAAGACAGGGATTTTAAAAGTTGACATGGGCTCCTATGTTGACCCAACCTAAAACTTGTACCCCACAATTTTTGGGAGATAAAGGCAGCTGGTACAAATTACTTCATCACCCGCTGAGTTTCAAGTTTACACTGAGGCTAGCATCATAAAATCAATGTTTCATAGTGATAAAAGAGCTCAAATTTTTTTTCCTGACTAGAGTTACAGTCAAGGACTGGCTTACTTCTTTTTCTTTGCGCTCACTGACTGAAAGTTCTAACTGTTCATCCACTTCTGGACTCTCTGTCCCAGAACCTGAGTGTAACGCGCACATACCTTTCACTGGTCAGACTCATTTGTATGCAGACTGTTGGTTCCTTGCCTCTCAGGCAGATGAACTCTGACTTCGAAGGAAGCTCCCAATTAATCAACTCTTATGACATGCTTTTAAGTAGGAGGTGGGTTTATTCTTGTTTTTTACCCACAATAGGCCCTGAAACCCAGATTGGGAGGTTTACCATTTGGAACTGTTTTATGACACTCCCATCCTAAAATGGGTACCAGGTACTGTCCTGGAAAGTAAACGTGGCCAGCATAATGTTGATCATATCACCCACTGACTACTTATTGATTTAGCATAATATGCTTGCTGTGCCAATGTTGTAAAAACTGTCCTTTACTTTTTACCATTTACACAACACTTCTAGACAATTTGCATTTATAGCATCCTCATCTCATCTTTATCCTCTCATACCTTGTAGTGTCGAGGTGAAGTATCATTTATGGGAAAGTGTCTGTTTGTGTGCATGAAAGCATGATATATATGTGCGGTTACTAAGAACCACAACTTGTCTGCAATAAGTGCAAGAAGACTGCAGAATTTGGTCAAATTCATCACCATGACTGAATGTTAAAGACAAGCAGTAGAGGAATAAACAAGAAATCATAGACCTCAAAACATAACAGAACAAAGAGGCTATACAACTGCTACACTGCAGATTGTTGGATGTGGCGATTAGGGCAAATAAAACAACAAAACATGTCTGAAAAGATATAATGCCAGTAAATTACTACAAGTTTCAACAGTGGAAATATGTTGGATCCTATCTTACTGCAAGTTTCAATAGCGAAACTATGTTGGATCCTACCTCACTGCAAGTTTAAGTAGTGGAAATATGCTGAATCCTATCTTACTGCAAGTTTCAATAGCGGAACTATGTTGGATCCTAACTCACTGCAAGTTTCAACAGTGGAAATATGCTGGATCCTATCTGACTGCAAGTGTCAACAGTGGAAATATGCTGGATCCTATCTGACTGCAAGTGTCAACAGTGGAAATATGCTGGATCCTATCTGACTGCAAGTTTCAACAGTGGAAATATGCTGGATCCTATCTGACTGCAAGTGTCAACAGTGGAAATATGCTGGATCCTATCTGACTGCAAGTTTCAACAGTGGAAATATGCTGGATCCTATCTGACTGCAAGTTTCAAAAGTGAAAATTGCTGGATCCTATCTGACTGCAAGTTTCAACAGTGGAAATAAAGTAGATCTAATCTCACTGCAGGAACAGACTGACACATTACGAGAGAAAGCTGCTTAAAAAAAATTAATACAGCTGTAACACAGAAGAGCAGCAGATAAAGAAGAATGCAGTAACTATGACATCCATACGATCAGACAAATTATGTTAAGTGTGTTAAATGCTGAAACCTGTGTTTTTTCTTCTATCACAGTCATTAGTTTGCTGAACTCACACTGAAGTTCCAAGACAGTGGTCTTGGTTCAATCCCCAGCAGTGGCTGAGTTTTTGACTCTGACCAATACTGCTGCGAGGTCACACAAGCTTCATAAAGATTTCAAGAAATTTGTAAAAATGCAGAGTGATGAGAAAGGGAATTGGTCACCACAGGTCATATGTTGTGGCCTAAAATATGTTGTGGCCTAAAATATGTAATGGCCTAATGCCTCACACTCCAACTGCAGTAACAGCTACAGGACCATCTTTTTCAAAACACTAAATTTGTTTCAACATCTGTCAATGAAAAATTCTTAGCTGAAACCTGTCAAGAACTTAGTGACTGTTAATATTTGAACAAAGAAGACATAAAAGACTGCCTAATTTATTGCCTGGAGCAATTCATCTATCTCGACAGGTACATAAAAAGAATTTAGCAAGGTGAAGCAAGTAAAAGAATCCTTGCAACTGAAATACAAAATATAAATCGCATTAAAATGTAACTGTTTTATCTATGCAATGCTAGACATGAACCAGTGTCTCTTTCTATTCTGCTCAAATTTTCAATGGAGAAATTTGAATCATTAGTGAAGCCATGATATTCTAACTGACCTGAGGTACAACACCTATAGCTCTCCTCAAACTATCCAGATCCACATCTGCGATTTGTTGTCCATTGATTAATATACTTCCCTGTTGTGGATCATAGAATCTGTACAACAGGCGCACAATTGTTGACTTTCTGAAATTGATCAATTAAGCAAAACTGAAATAGTGAGAAAAAAAAAATAAAATAAAATAAAATAAAATATTCAAATGCACACATATACATGATCAGTTCAGAAACCCACTACAATGGTACCCCGGGTCACAAACTTAATTCATTCTTTGACTCCATTTGCGAACCAAAATGTTCACAACCCCCCCCCCCCCCCCCCACCAATTGCCCACTGAAATTAATGCAAATCCAATTAATTCTTTAAACCACCACAGAAACACCGTTTGTGTGTGTGGCTTTTTTTTAATGGATTTATGTTAGGCAAAAATATATAATACTTAATACCTGAAGAAGTTTATTCTTTAGTTTATTCTTATTGCGTTTAGAAGCACACAGATGTTCAGAGTGGTAAACTAAAAGAAGGCTTCATTTTACAATCTGCCCTTACAATAGCTCACAAAAAAACCACTAGCCTTTCGTTCATTGGCTTGTGGCCATGCAGCAACTTTTCCTTTTGCGTTATGTTGGTCCTTCTTGCCATTCACCCCCCTCCCCCCTTTACCAGTACAGCTATTTCATCAACTGCCTCACCAAATGAGTACAAGAAACATCTCTAAGAATGTATGACCAGCACAGCTATTTCATCAACTGTCTCACCAAATGAGTACAAGAAACATCTCTGAGAAGGTATGACCAGTACAGCTATTACATCAACTGCCTGACCAAATGAGTACAAGAAACATGTCTGAGAAGGTATGACAAGGCCTCAACAAATGAGTACAAGAAACATCTCTGAAAAGGTATGACCAGTACAGCTATTACATCAACTGCCTGACCAAATGAGTACAAGAAACATATCTGAGAAGGTATGACCAGGCCTCACCAAATGAGTACAAGAAACATCTCCGAGAAGGTATGACTAGGCCTCACCAAATGAGTACAAGAAACATCTCTGAGAAGGTATGACCAGTACAACTATTTCATCAACTGCCTCACCAAATGAGTACAAGAAACATCTCTGAGAAGGTATGACCAGTACAGCTATTAAATCAACTGCCTCACCAAATGAGTACCAGAAATATCTCTGAGAAGGTATGACCAGTACAGCTATTACATCAACTGCCTCACCAAATGAGTACAAGAAACATCTCTAAGAATGTATGGCCAGACCTCACCAAATGAGTACAAGAAACATCTCTGAGAAGGTATGACCAGTACAACTATTACATCAACTGCCTCACCAAATGAGTACCAGAAATATTTCTGAGAAGGTATGACCAGTACAGCTATTACATCAACTGCCTTACCAAATGAGTACCAGAAATATCTCTGAGAAAGTATGACCAGTACAACTATTACATTAACTGCCTCACCAAATGAGTACAAGAAACATCTCTGAGAAGGTATGACCAGTACAGCTATTACATCAACTGCCTTACCAAATGAGTACTAGAAATATCTCTGAGAAGGTATGACCAGTACAGCTATTACATCAACTGCCTTACCAAATGAGTACCAGAAATATCTCTGAGAAGGTATGACAAGTACAGCTATTACATCAACTGCCCCACCAAATGAGTACCAGAAATATCTCTGAGAAGGTATGACCAGTACAGCTATTAGATCAAATGCCTCACTAAATGAGTACAAGTAACATCCCTGAGAAGGTATGACCAGTACAGCTTTTACATCAACTGTCTCACGAAATAAGTACAAGAAACATCTATGAGAAGGTATGACAAGTACAGCTATTAGATCAAATGCCTCACCAAATGGGTACAAGAAATATTTCTTAGAAGGAAAGGGCAGCCAGCAGGATGGGGACAAACTTAGGTCTCATAGTTCTAAAAAATATGTGTCTAAGATCATATTCCAAATAGGCAAACATGGTCGTCTTACTTATAACATTATTTACTGACTACTTAACAATGTCAGGTAAGGGTTTTGCCCTAATGATAGAAAATTGCAAAAAAGGGTGACTAGACACCCTCCCCCCTTCCCTAGCTGTTATTCTGATATGGTGTCTCTAAAGTAAATGGTTATATCATCTGTCGGTTTGGTCTGAACTCCATCCCTAAGCTTGTGAGTAGAGGTGTTTCAGAGTTTCATGGGGGTCATAACTGGAGCTATGGAGTTGAAAAAAAAAAAGAGGGGGGGGGGGGGGGTAAGACAGAACAAGTGCGTGTGAGAGAGAGAGAGAGAGAGAGAGAGAGAGAGAGAGAGAGAGAGAGAGAGAGAGAGAGAGAGAGAGAGAGAGAGAGAGAGAGAGAGAGAGAGAGAGAGAGAGAGAGAGAGAGAGAGAGAGAGAAAGAGAGCTAGGGAGAGACTGAGCCATATGGAAAAAAAAAACCAGACAACTGATGATGATAGGTGCAGTGAAGTCAATTCTTTCACCTTCCCTTCACAGGGCAGGTATTTGATTCTTTAAATCAAACATTCACAAATTAAAGTTGGAGGATCAACTTCATTGCCCAGGGTTACCCCATACAGTTTAGTCTCTCTCCACCTGCCTTTATTGGAGCACAAAGCACGAACTCTAGCGAGGACCCCCAGGGCTCTCTGGAAAGAAATGCACTTGTGAAACAAACGACACATCTATTAAATAAACTCATGACCTTTAAAATACCGAGGTAAACAGCTTGACCACTTTGCCGTGGTCTTCCCCCCCCCCCCCCAACCAAACATTTATCATTTCAGATACAACTTGAATGATGACAAGTTTCAGAATAAATAAAAAATCTCACCCAGAACCACTTCCTCCAACTATAGCAACTTTCTTCCCTGAAGGCACTGTGAAGTTGAGACCATTGAGGATACGATGTCCCTTTACATACTCAAAGTATACATCTTGAAATGTGATTGTTGACTCTCCTGGTGTAACCTGGAGTACTGGAGCATTCAGCTTACTCTGGGAACAAAATCCTTGAGACATCACTTGTTTGTCTTGTTACATGAGACACTTACAGGCATGCAAAGACATTCAGCTTACTCTGGGAAAGAAATCCCTGAGACATCACTTGTTTGTCTTGTTACATGAGACACTTACAGGCATGCAAAGACATTCAGCTTACTCTGGGAAAAAAATCCCTCAGACATCACTTGTTTGTCTTGTTATGTGAGACACTTACAGGCATGCAAAGAATGCTAGGTGCAGTGAGGAAAGATCGACTTAGGAACAATGATATCAGGAGGAGAGTCGGCACAGAGCCAATACTGAACTTTATATGTAGACAACAAATCAAATGGTTTGGCCATGTAACAAAATTGGCATCAGACAGGGCACCACACAGAGCAATGCTATACAGATACAGCGGTAACAGAGCCAGAGGTCAGAAATATCAGAGACACTGAAAAGTACTTTATACGAAGCAAAGAGAAGGGCCCATTCCAGAGATCTCCTCCTGCCCTGATGCCGCGAGGCATTCCAGAAGAAGAGGTAAGAAGAAGACTCCACAGGAACAAAATCTGGGTGAAGAAATTGAGGAATCCGGTAAAAAACAGACTATCTGGCAACACTAGCTCAAATTTAAAGAATTGCAGAGAGCAGGGATCAGACAGCAGCTCAGGCTCAATCCAGCGGATCTTAATACTCAGTATTCTTTTATCTAATATTGGTATAAATGTGCATTAACATATAGATGTGCATGTGCAGTCATGTGTGTTTGTATGTGTTTGATACAGATCACTGTGGGATGTATTACTAGTTAAGGTTTTCCAGTAAATATCGCTATAAAAGTATCACATGCCAATATCTTGATTTTTTCTCTCCGGGATATGCTGGTGTGTTGGGAAATGAACAGGCAGACAGACTGGCTGGCTCTGCACAACTTGGTAGAATTCCAATGCATGATAAGGCAGACGTAGTTAGTGCCTTGTGGAAGAGCGTGTAAGTTCGGAGGAGCAGATGGATCACCACAGACTGGTGAGACTGAGGCAGTGGGGAGTGACAACGGGTTCTGGCAGATGCTCAAAGGAAAGGCAAGACGGACGTTTAATCAGAATGCTACTGGTACCATTAGTATTGGAACTCTACACTGGCTGATGAAGATGGGGACGGAGCACTTATGGGAATGCCCAGAGTGCTGTGATGTCGGTTCTTGAATCAACTCAACTGAACTAGAACCACACACAAAAAAGAAGAAAAAAAGCATCAGCATGTATATCTCACCTTAATACTTGTGGACATATTCAGCAAGCTGAACATTGTATGCATGTCAATGAGAGATTGGCGCACTTCTCGGTAGACAGAGCCCAGAAAGTTGAGCGGTAGGGACAGCTGAAACAGCAAGCCATTGACCATCACAAGATCACCCACAGTCATGGTGCCTGCCAAATAAGTTTGTTGAAATAAAATCCTAAACCAGCAATTTCAAACAAAATATCACTTTGAAAAAAAAGGGGGAATTAAATAAGATTACCCATACAACAAATCATGGTTATATAAAGCTCTGAAAGATGTCTCAAATACTGAAATAATGTAGCTGGTATGTGCTTATCCTCTCCTAATGACAGTCACAAAATACATCTTTCTATTTATTGTCCATCTTGGGCCACAGTTTGTCTCTTCTGTCTATAAATATATGCTCTATGTCTAAAATACTGGTACTATAAACTCTGTCCTACTGTGAATCAGAAACACAGAATGTCTTGAAGAATATTCAGTATTTACCAAATGTTTATTATCTTCTTTTTCTTCTTTCATCAGAGAACATAACTGCTTTGTGACCATTTACAGTGTGGCTGCAATAATTTCATTGATACATCTGATTTCTTCCGGGCATTTGTTGCCGAGGTTAGCCTTCCTGGATACTACTATAAAATTTTTATATGTTGAAAACTACATTAACATAACCTAAATATAAAAAAGACATGCAACTGATTTATTCTCAGACTGATCGGCCTGTACATTCAGGTATTTTAAGAATAAATAAATGTTTTTTAAAGTCACACCATTTTGAAACTTCCTTCTCCACTCATACACTTCCTGGAATGAAAGGTATGCATCACATTACTGGATTTTCACTCCCAGGATGAATTTCTACAGTTAAGAGAATTATACTAATCTTTGGTACTCATCACATTACTGGATCTTCACTCCCTGGATAAATATCTACAGTTGAGAGAAAGATACCAATTTTTGGTACACATCAAAAGTGAGGCAGCAATCTTTAAGCACCGTGATGTCATGTGCTTAACACTCTTGACATCCTTAACAAGAATACTGACAGGTTAGAAGACAATGGTATGATTATTGTAATTTCTATCCCACTCTGAACGTTTTAATGTGAAGCCCCGTTATATTTCACCCCTGGGCTGGCCATGAAGCTTCCATTCCATGTTGTCTGTTATGTGCCACTCTCTTTAACTTCATGTATTCTGCGTTGACAGACTTGTATTGAAGCATATTTTTTGAGGTTTTCACTCCATTTCTCCCTGGTAATTCCCTTCCAATATGCCTTTTGACATTTCTTCATGTATTAGAATGTGATCTAGGCATATGGGAAAATGTAAGCATTACAGTGGAAAATCACAAAGAATGTACAGAAATATTACATATGAAAACTCACACTAATGATAGCTTTAACACATAATGTTTCTTCAAAGTTACATTACCTTTTTTATTAATACACAGAAAGATTGAGAAGAACTAGATTGCATACTCTTATTTTTATTTCTAAATGCTCCCTCTGATGGTGGCGTTGTGTTTTGTTCTGTGGTCCAATATCAACTACCACAATGGCAGGATAACTGTTTTCTGACAAGCACGGCCATCTACCCTTATCTGTCTCTAACTTGCCATAGGGGGGAAGTTCGTTTCTCAGTGACCCTGACAGCTACGCCAGAGGCAGCATAGCTACTAGCAGGGCCTTCCAAGCCATACAGGTCCGGGTAGAGAACAAACAAAGAGAGAAATCCTGGTCATCCATGTTGTGGGGAGGGGGGGGGGGAAGGGAGAAGGCAGACAGAGAGAGAGTGAGAAAGAGAGAGAAAGAGAGGTGTGTGAAGCACACACACCCCCTGTAAAATTTAATTTTGTCCGCAAACAGATATCAAAGCTCATCCCAGAGATTAGAGGCAGGGGATATCAGGAGCAATTCTTCTTCTTCTTTTGTTCGCCTGAAATAAGTGTCTATATCAGCAATTTTGCTTCTCGCATAAATTTTACTGTCGATTTTAGTTTGTTCAGTGGTCCATATAGTTTACGTTCCACTGTTCTTCTTTCTGGTCAAAAGGTTTGTCTTAGTGTATCAAATTCTGTGCAGTCCTGGAGTATATATTCCGCTGTCTGGGGCACCTTTCCATAGGTGCACATGGCTGATACACTTATCTTTAATTTTGTGTACACGTGGTTACATAATCATCAGGAGCAATGAATCTTATGTGCATGGAATGCTGAAGAAGATGTCAACCCAGCCTTCTAATAATGGTTTTAAGACATCTTTCAGGAGTCCTGGAAAAGTAAAAAAGAAGAGGACTGGCCACTCCATCCCATTATATCATGATATAGAACAACGGTTCTCAACCTGTGGGTCGTGACCTTTTTTTTAATGTCTAACGACACTTTCCCAGGGGTTGCCTAAGACCATCGGAAAACATATATTTATTGAAATTATGAAGAGGTAGCAAAAATAATTGTATGTTTGGAGGTCACCACAGAATGAGGAACTGTAGTAAAGGGTCGTGGCATTAAGAAGGTTGACACTGATCTAGAATATGTAAAGACCTAGCACTTCATATTGCAGCATCTACAAAGAGACCACCTTTAGCCGTATGATGCCTCTTCACTTTGATAAGCTGATACCAGCAAGGTTCATGACAATGCCACAGCTAAACCCTATGTGCTTACCTGCCATGATGTTGTGACTAGCCATTACCATAACAGCTGTGAGACCAACACTAAAGATGGCATTCTGTCCCCAGTTTAACAGGGCCAAGCTTTCTGTGGTCTTCAAGGAGGCAATCTCGTACTTTTGTAGAAGTTTGTCATATTTTTCAGCTTCATACTGCTCATTGTTGAAATACTACAGATAGACAATGGAGAAGTATTTCACTGTAGAAACATTATAGTGATGCAGAACAAATACACAATGCTGGGGGAGGGGAGGGGGTGGAGGGCAGGGGGATTGAAGAGATTACACACACAGACACAGCCTGCAGCAAATAAAAATGTATTCATTAAAGATAAAATGACAAATAACTCAAAGCATGAATGCTAAACAGCGAGGGAATTAACACATAACTCATTGTAGAAGAACTATAAAAATAACAAATGCATTATTCCCTGCAGAAACATAACATAAAAACATCATGAACACATTAACACACTTGAGAAACACCACATAAAACCACAATTTGTACAAAAACACAGCATAAAACATTAACACTTTAGAACAATACATAAAAAACATAAGTAACGTATAATAAACTGTAGAAACACTACAAAAAAAAACGCATAAGGAATACATGAACTCTTTTAAGTCATAGCAGTTGTTCCTAGAATACCTTCCATCCCACAATGTGTATACTTCAAAGACAATCTTTGAGGCTCAATGATTTAAAATGATAAGCTATGAGACAGGTGGATTTAAAGTAAAATGTTGGGTACTGGATAAATCTACCAGAAGAATAGCAAGGGAGGAGTTTTGAAATGTCTATGATGTAAATATGCCCAAAATATTAAATAGATAGAAAGAAGATTATTTCTATTGCTGGAATTAAACAATTTTTAAACCTTTCAAGTTACCAAAGGATGACAGGCTACAAGTCACTAGAAAGGCATAGATAGGGCACTCACCTTCACAGTTTCATAGTTTATAAGGGAATCTATGGCTTTGGATCCTGCCTCATTATCAGCTTTATTCATCAACATACGAAACTTGGTCCTGGAAACAATAAGTAATCAGACAGAATGCTCAATCATTTCACTCAAACATTTATTTATTATATTCCTTTCAGTTGCAATTATAAATATTTCATTCTGTCATTGTTATAGAACCATTTGTGATATTTATTTACATTCTGCAAAACCTTCTCAAAGTGAGTACTAAAATGTTAAGTAGAACCTTTACTGCTGTATGGTAGATCAACGGTAGGAGAGGGAGATGTACACAGAGGGATATCATTGGTGGAACTGGTCTAGAGGACAAGGGACCGAGATCTGTGCAGCATGAACACCTATGCCAGTCAGCAGGGATGTGATGAAGATGATGACAACCTCTTCTGTCATATGGATTTAGTGGGAAGAAACAAAGCTAAACTTAGTAAGAGCTTATAAAATGTTCCTAATAACACCATGTAAATAAAGTTAAGAACCAATTTCCACATCTTTAGACATACTATGCATAAGATTCTAGCACCAAATTATTATCTGTTTCACCTCGTGTTTGCCCCCCCCCCCCCAATCCAATCTGTTTTAACTCAAGTTCACCCCACCCCCCACACAATTTGTTTCAACCCAAGTTCCCCATCTGTTTCACCTCAGAATCGCTCCCCATCTGCTTCAGCACAAATCTGCCCACATCTGTTGTTTACCTCAGGTTCGCCTCCATCCATTTCACCTCAGGTTCAACCTTATCTGTTTCTCCTCAAGTTCGCCCCCAACCATTTTACCTCTCCTCCAGTTCTCTTCTCTAAGAGTTTACTGGTCTGTCTTTATTCATCTGAACATATGGGTTCCAGTGCAAGGACATTCTAGTTATACTGTTATGACTGTTTTGTTTTTTTCTATTTATCCAACACCAGCATCTTTTCTTCAGCTTTTGATTTTTGTTATGTTATTTCAATAGGTTAAAAATTTGTGTTACGGACTTTTGTAACATTATTTGTGTAGTCAGTTGAGTCAGAAGTAGAATATATGAGATGCAGCGAAACTGCTAAAGAAAGGACAACCAACAATAGAAGCAGCAACACTGAAAACATAATTTCAGCATTCCCAATTCCCCGTAAATTATATTTTTAAAAAGTTTTAATTCAGAGAATCTCAGCTGCAATAACAAAAACAGAAAAAGGAATATTTTATATTATATATCAATACAAAAAATTTGTAGACTATATCCTGTCACTCAAGAACATAACAGTGTTTAGAACGAGATATGTGTGCAGTTCTATGGATTTATGAAATCCCCTACTGTTTCGATCCTCAACATTTAATGTACAATTCTGGAACTGTATGAAAAGCATCACTGTGAATTAAAGTTGCTTTTCAACAGTAAGCAGTAATATCTCCCAACAGTTTCTGCTGTGTGGTGTTAGTAAACATGTCTGTCAGAGCCTTCTGCCTTGTGTACTGTCAATCATTTATTTCTGTGTCTGTTTTTGTATTTAGAAAGCAAGTTTTACCTGTGTGTTTGTGTGCATGTGAGTAGGGTAGTGTGTGTGCACACATATGTTTGTGGGTGTACCTCATGTATGTGTATGAACATATCTGTGGGGCAAGATCGCAGCTGTTATTGTTGTGTTTTCTAACTGCCACTAATTATACTTAACAAGAATGGAATTAGTGCATTGTTTATAGTTCGTGTGATGCAGAAGTAACAAAGAAAGTCTATTTCCTCAAGATTTTTGCCAGTGCTATGGAGTTAACCATCTTGAAAAAATGTTCAACAGCGTGCGCCAAATTTGACGTATTTGTTGTCATCATGATAAAACACTGTGTTGGTTCTGGCCGGACAAGTAAGACTTGCAGAGGTAAGCGAGGACAGCGTTGCAGAAAGGGTAGACGTGGGGGAGTGAGAAGAACTCGGCTCAAATTTGTAACAACTTTCAAATTTTATACTGGAACTGTGCAAGCGTCAGACAGTGTGGAGCGATTATTGATAACCTAGTGTACAGATCAGACATATGCAAAAGGCATGCCTTGGCAATGGAATGCTACAGATAGCTGGATACAACTGTTATAACAACAGGCACCATTTGGGACTGGCAATGCTTGTATGCAACAGCATAAGGGTGTCAGAGGTAGACAGGTCTCGGCGGGACAGTGACGAGCTACAGCTTCAAGCGATTAGGGTTCAGTCTGAGCATTCGTTCTTATTAGTGAATATGTATGCATGTAACGAATAAGTATGATTCCCAGAAATGGTTGTGTCAGAATCATATTATCTCCTAAGAAGGCAACACCATTTTCTAAGGAGATTTCAATGCTAACAGCAAGTTATGGGGATGTTTCTTCCAACGCTCAAGGAGAGGAGCTCGAAGATGTGCTTGAATCCACCAACCTTGTATGCATCAACAACGGCTGTCACCAGACTGGCGAGCCAACAAGGGGACAAAGATGTTAATCACATCACCCACCGAGTGCTGATTGGTCCATGAAATACAGATCTAGCCCTATAGGCCCAATACTGTAACCCTGAGTGTCTTTTTATGTTTTTTAACATAAAGAATATTTAATCAAATAACTAGTTTAAAGCAATATATAACACAATAAAATAAGGTCAACAAATATAATGGAAATTATATTTTCAAACTGTCTGCTTAATACCGACTAACCTCCACTGAGTGACAGCAAATGTGAACACAGCATAAGATGCAACACAGCCAAGGGTAACGGCAGCAAACTTGCCTCCACACTGATAGTACTGCAGATGTACACACATGGAAGATACCAGTCACAGAATATTATCTTTATAAACAATTAATGTTAGTGTGATAACAATGAAGAAATTTAGAGCTGGGGATATTAGGACTGAGACTGCAAGATCTATATTGTAGCAGACATAGATCAAGCAGCGTCAAGATCCATTATTTAACAAAAGATGATAAATATACTGTTAACTTATTTAAACATTTATTCTTCTATGTTCTCTACAATTATCTTCCACAAAAGCTTTTTTTGCTTGTAAATACATCCATAAGTTGTAAATTAATCGTGGGGCTTAAGAATATATAGAACAGAGGAATAAATGTAAGGCAGGAAAAAACATGGGTTTTTCAAAGTGAATAGAAAAGTTTGAATGTAAAAAACTAACAGCCAGGATGCCGACAAATAAAATAAAATAAATTAAAATTGATGGTGACAAAAAATAATCTAGGGTCATGATCACAAACTTTTGCTCCAGACCAAAAATGTGAAAAAGAAGATGAATAAACAGGAGGAAGAGGAGGAGAAGAAAGAGGAAAGTAAGAAGTATGTAGGAGGGTAAAGAGGACCAGAAGATTTTTAAAAAAATGTAGTACTCATTTGCTTCCTGACTTGTCCGAAGACAGTTACGGAAATGCAGTGAGAAAATCTCAACACATAGTGTCAAGGACCTCAGTGTGGGTTTATGTAACAGAAGTTACATATAGTTTATACACAGGTCAAGAGTTAACATAAGACAAAACTAGGCTTGAATGAATGAACACAGAATTAGACATTCGATGGTGCAATAAATACCCGATTCAAAACACGTAAACATGGATGGTGACTACAATAATAACTAATAAACATTCATTAACTAGTGCCAGCACAGAATACTGTAAACAAAATGAATTGACCGCATATTTGATGTAGAGTTTTGGTTATAGAACCAAAGGATACTCAGTGAATTAAGGTGCTGACATATTACTGCAACCGCCTGATGAAATTTGGGAGCATTAGTATTGCATGCTACAAGCTAACAAATAAGAAACAGGAAATATAGTAAACACTGTAATCAACCCAACTTACCAAAACAGAACTCACAAAACCAACTTCCAAAATTGTAGGGGCTACATTGAAAACGAGAGCGCTCAGTACAAAGTTGATACCCCTAAAATAAAATTTGAAAAAAATAAAAATAATTTCAGCTTATTCAAATAAAATTAAAAGCTGTGTGTGCACACATATGCGTTCACTTGCACTGTAAAAAAATACAAATGGCACATTTCCTCAACATACTAAAACTGGAGATCTATGAACATGTAGAATGGTCAGCAACAGAGAATCAGACAGACTAACAAATCACCAAGCTGTGCACAGATTAGCAATTAAAATAACTGACCATGTCATGTGTAGAGTAGTAGTTAAATAGGCTAGCAATTAACCAAGTCATGTGTGGAGTAGTAATTAAATAGGCTAACAAATGACCAAGTCATGTGTACAGTAGTAACTGAAAGTGTTAACAAATGACCAAGTCATGTGAAGAGTAGTAATTTAAATTGCTAACAACTAACCAAGTCATGAGTAGAGTAGTAATTTATTAGGCTAACAACTGATCAAGTCATGTATAGAGTAGTAATTGAAATTGCTAACAACTAACCAAGTCATGTGTAGAGTAGTAATTGAAATTGCTAACAACTAATCAAGTCATGTATAGAGTAGTAACTGAAATTGCTAACAACTAATCAAGTCATGTATAGAGTAGTAATTGAAATTGCTAACAACTAACCAGGTCATGTGCAGAGTAGTAACTGAAATTGCTAACAACTAACCAGGTCATGTGCAGAGTAGTAATTGAAATTGCTAACAACTAACCAAGTCATGTGCAGAGTAGTAACTGAAATTGCTAACAACTAATCAAGTCATGTGTAGAGTAGTAATTGAAATTGCTAACAACTAATCAAGTCATGTATAGAGTAGTAATTGAAATTGCTAACAACTAACCAGGTCATGTGCAGAGTAGTAACTGAAATTGCTAACAACTAATCAAGTCATGTATAGAGTAGTAATTGAAATTGCTAACAACTAACCAGGTCATGTGCAGAGTAGTAATTGAAATTGCTAACAACTAACCAGGTCATGCGCAGAGTAGTAGTTTAATAGGCTAACAACTGATCAAGCCATGTTAGAATAGTAATGAAATTATTAACAACTAACCAAGTCACGTGTTGCAGAGCAACTATGGGGTGACCCGTTTGCTATGAAGCTGAAACTAAGATGACCAGATATCCTGTCATAACATTAGGTTTTCAGGTTGCATTTCCACTTCATAGGACTATGTCATGTGTTCTAATGGATTATATTGCAATTCTAATGTTAAATAAACTACAAGTACCTTAAACATCAGCTCAGACATAATTCAACTCATAAAACCTGTTTCCTTTTAAGAATAAAGAATGCACTAATACCTGGTTCCTCTGTCAATAGCCTTTGACAAAGCACCAGTCTGCCTTGACAGGTGGAAATTTAAATCCATAGAGTGCAGATGCAGAAATACGTTTTTGGCCACTTTACGTATGGAGCTTTGAGCCACTTTGGCGAACACTGCATTACGAAGCTCATTAAAAAGTGCTGCACCAGTTCTGGCCAAACCATCTGGAAAAGAAGAGCATTTATATTTGCCAGTTTTACCAGGACCAAATAAGGAGGAAAAAAAACTAGAAGGTTTTTTTTTAAAAGTTAAAAAGACTTGACTTCATCGCATCAGGTCTTATCCCACAAAGTCTAGTCTCTCTCTCCTGCTCCCACGCTCTGGTCACTAGCCAAAAGCGCCATAAAAAGCAAAAAACTTCATGGCTCTAGCAACAACCCTCAGTGATCTTTAAAATACCTGTATTTAATAGCCAAAGGATGGAGCCCTAGATGAAATCTAAGACCTGCATTCAAGAGCCAAAGGATCAAGTCCTAAAGAAATATACGGTCTGCAATCAAGAGCCACAGGAAGGAGTCCTAAATTAATTATATGGTATGCATTCGAGAGCCAACGAATGGAGTCCTTAATGAAATATATTGTCTGCATTCATAAGCCAAAGGATGGAGTCGATAATGAAATATATCGCTGCATACAAGAGCTAAAGAATGGAATCCCAAAAAAAATCTATGACCTGCAATCAAGAGCCAAGAGATGGGAGTCCTAAATGAAATCTATGACCTGCAATCAAGAGCCAAGGTATGGAGTCCTAAATGAAATCTATGACCTGCAATCAAGAGCCAAGGGATGGAGTCCTAAATGAAATCTATGACCTGCAATCATGAGCCAAGGTATGGAGTCCTAAATGAAATCTATGACCTGCAATCAAGAGCCAAGGTATGGAGTCCTAAATGAAATCTATGACCTGCAATCAAGAGCCAAGGTATGGAGTCCTAAATGAATCTATGACCTGCAATCAAGAGCCAAGGTATGGAGTCCTAAATGAAATCTATGACCTGCAATCAAGAGCCAAGGGATGGAGTTGTAAATGAAATCAGTGACCTGCAATCAAGGGCTAAGGGATGGAGTTGTAAATGAAATCTATGGCCTGCAATAAAGAACCAAGAGATGGAGCCCTAAATGAAATCTATGACCTGCAATCAAGAGCCAAGTGATAGAGTTCTAAATTCAATTTATGACCTGGAATTAAGAGCCAAAGGATGGAGTTCTAAACAAAATCTACAACTTGAATTCAAGAGCCAAAAGGATGGAGTCCTAAATTACATTTACAACCTGCATTCAAAAGCCAAAGGATAAAGTTCTAAATAAAATCTATAAGCTACATTCAAGAGCCAAAAGATGAAGTCCTAAACGAAATCTACGACCTTCAAAGTGCAAGGTAAACAGCTTTATCAATGAGACCTCCAGCAAACAACATTAACACAGTAAGAAAAAGTGAATGTCACAAAAGGTGACTCAAGAAGATTTGTACACATGATTGCTGGGCCACAGGCAAGTATGCTAGTTACTGTGCTACTGCGGCAGATCAGTGTTTATATAATTATATGCCTGCTAAATCACAGTGCTTATGGATTCGTATGTGCTGTATCATTTGATATTAGAAGGAAGATTGTCAATAAAAACAAAATTAGAAGCAATTGTTTTCCAAGCATCTTTACATTACAAAAAAAAAAAAAAAAAGCTTAAGCAGCTTTCTGTTTTATTATAAAATGTACTTTTTCAAAGTACCAATGTTCAAAGACTAAGCTTAGATATAATAAATTCTCATTCATAATGCAAATTTTGAATAATTCTTTCTTTTACAGAATCATAATGCAAGTTAGTTTTAAATCATTCTTTTTTTTCATTCTCCCTTTTTGTAAATCAAAATCCTTGTATTTTGTTGCTAAACCCAATTCAAAATATTATAGGTGAGCCTGCATTATACAACAGTGGGAAAAAAAACACCAGTCGTAACATAATAAAATATGACATTTATTAACAAACAGAGCAATAAAAATCCAATGGTTGAGGGGAAGAGGAAAATAAATCATACTACCACTAATCACACAGACAACAGCTGTGCTGGAGGAATAACAAACAAAAAAACTAGAACTTTTAGTATTACACGTTTGCCAATATTTAGATTTTAGTTTCAGCAGCTGGAAAATACACATAAACACAATGTAATGTAGACTGGCTATAACACCTTGCAGACTGACAACATGTATGTGAAACATGCACCTGATAGGCAAACAGAAAACATACGCATAATATTCACCAAACCCAACTTCAATAACTTACAAATTCATAACAAAGAATCTAAAGCAGACTATTTTTTCAATATCTTACAAATTCACACATTTACATAGTGTACTTACTGTACACTATACTCTATAACTTCAACACCTCTTGTAAATTTACAACATATAATCTGAATTAAAACTATAACATTTACAGCGTGCAAATTCACAACATATAATCTAAATTAGATTATAACTTCGACAACTTACAAATTCACAACAGTTATGTAAAACATACACCAGGAATATACAAACAAGCTTATAATCTGACATCACAAGCATATAAGCATCACATATTTGAATAAAACTGAAACAACGTAGAACTTACAGCCTAACATTATGGCAAATGCTGTAGTCAAAATAGTTCGGCCAGGATCCTCCAAGCCCAACCAGTTGGCAGGTTGATTGAGGTAGTCAACAGCATACTTGAATATGAAGGGAACTGTTACATTGAGAGCCTGCAAAGTAGCAAACACTATCAACATGTTGCTTTTCTCAATTCCTAAAAAGAATGTAAATACACTATATTAAGCAGTAACATCATATCTGATAAGGAAGAAATTTTATTTTCTTTAAATTTGAATACTCAGTGTTCATTTAAAGATCATCTTCAACACACACCATACATGAACATAAGAGCTCCGATCTCCTCCTTTTTATGTTTTCCTCCTTGAAAGAGTGGAACTTTGTTTTGTAGTTAACAGCTATGATATCTACACATTTCAGCCTAGCTTACTGCAGTTTCAGCAAAACCCCAACTAGCCTCTTACAATGTGCCTGTTGGGGGCAGTAGTTATATTCTCTTCCCTCTCAAAATGGGGCCTTGGGAGCCGCACAGGCAAAATGTTACACTTAAATCTCAACTCTATTTAATCATATAGCTAACCACATGAAGTGATGAAAATTTGAAACAAAGTATGAACAATTTTAATAACTTTCAGCAAATACTCAGCAGCCAAAATAATAAAATCACATGCAAATATTAATATTAACAGGAAAAAATTTAATGCTTTTTGCAGATAACTGATATTTTAAAAAATTTATTTAAGGGGAAAAAGTAAATAATCAGCAGTACTTTGTTGCACTAAATGAACCAGTCACTGCATTCACTGACTTTATCTGAACAGATAAAGATTTCTATTCTTTATCAGTTTGTAGATGTGATTTAGAGAATTTGTTAAATCTAGCAAAACAGTTCTTAAGAACTCTCCTGCGGTCTTCTTTACTTTACTCCTGAAATTCCTCACAGCATCAGGGCAAGAAAAGATCCCTTATGTTCGCTTCAAATACAGTACTTTCCAGCATCTCCGATATTTCCACGGTCAACCGTGTACATGGTCAAATTCTGGCACTATTACCGATGTATCTGTACAACACTGTTCTCTGAGGGACCCTGTCTTACAGTAAGTAAAGATATATTGCAAAGATTATAAGACTATAATTTCACTATAAGACCTATATAATTCAAGCTTACCTTGGCACCAACTAGCAGCCCCAAGGCTACAATTACACGAATACGAAATGAAATGTTATTTTTTGGCCATATATATGTCAGCATTGACTTGATCATGTCAATGTAGCGTACTGGTCTTGCTCCTGCAATTCCCACATCATTAGGGGTCAAGTTTGATGCACCTGGATGCCAGTTTCTTTTCTGAGGTCCTAAACGACTAATGATCTAAGAAAATAACATGAAAAAAAAAAGGTCAATGAAATCGACTCAAAGGAATCAAGTAAATGAAATGTGGAAACAAGTTATTTTAAATGACCACAGTTTTTTTTTTTTACAGATTTAAGGAGGATAAGCAGTCCAAGTTTACACAAAACACATCTCAGGTGGATGTCAAGGAGTCAGCATTTAAAGAACTTACTGTAGTACTTAGACAGCCCCCCCCCCCCCCCCCCATTTCTCTCTCTGTTTCAGACAAACACAGTAATAAGGTTTCTTTGCACAATTTATTCTTTTTTTTTCTTTAGATTTACATGTTTTATGCTTGCAGTAATTTCATATAAAATTAATTCACATTAACAAACTACTTGTCCCTTCTTTCATGCTTGATCGTTAATAAATTAAAAAAATATGTTAAGGTGCCATTTCTATGACTTCAGGTGCACTGACCTTCACCTTCCAATACATTTCTTGGTAACCATTTTTGGCTGGGTCAGTCTGGGTGCTCAGTTCAATGTGTAAAAAATATAGCTGGGTGGAAATTTGAACCTAGGACTTCTGGGTTGAGAAGCAAGCATGCTAGCCACTAAATTCTCTGTGTGGGTTCCAGATTCCCACTGTTGGGGGCGGGGGGATTCCATTGCCACCTTAAAAAGCATGTTGTAAAAGTCGCCTAGTTAGGGATTTCCCACAAAGTTAGAGTAGATCTGCCTGAGAGTCAAAGAACCAACAGTCTGAACATGGCTTATTAAGCCAGATCTGCAAAATGGATGTGCACACAAAACTCAATTTCTGAAACAAGATTAAATCAAAAAGTGCACAAATAACAATCTTTCCACCTGAGTTTACAAACGAGGAACAGTTTGTGAATGCACAAGAAGAAAGAGATGACTATGGCTCCACATATACCATCACATGATTTTATTTACTGATAACAAAGCATTCAACATTGTTTACAACTTGTCAAGTTTCTGACGGGTTCATCTCTCTCCATCCCATTACCCCTAAAACAATAAACAACCCAGGTGTTACATCAGCTATAATAAAGGACATTGTCGCAGCCAATTATCTCACAGTTTTACTGTTCATTTCTACATCAGGTTATCAGTTACATTTCCAACTTCATCGCAAACAGGTCCCCCCATGACTGCACTGTTCTTGTACTAGCTGCTCGGCAGAACCTTGTTTCTATATACAGCTAAATAAGTTTCAGTTTAACCCTTTCGCTGCTACATATTACGCAGCCATTGTTACCACTGTGCTAAGCAAGTTTCCCTGCTGATTCTCTCTCTGCTGAATACTTTTCTGTCCTTCAAATGCAAAAGATGTGTCAGAGGTGCAAGCTATATTTTGTACTCCTAAAAATATTCACTATAAGGAGGTAGGTGGTTAGCCCGAGTATTGACAAGTCAGACGCACTATGGCAATACTAAGAAACCCAGCCTTTACAGGAAGGAAATACTAGAAACTAGATTAAATTGACTAGTGATAGTGAAAAAGATTTATCCTCTGCCGTCTACTTCATCTTGGTCTTCACTGTTGCAGTATATGTAGTAGAAACATCATGGAGAAGCAAGCATAATAGTAGCCTTCAGATCATGCAAGACAGTTTTTATTCTTCGCTGTTTTCACCGCTGCTGCATGTTTACTCACTGCCACAAGAGCATCAGAGGCTTTTACTGCCCCCTACACCTTGCTATGAGTGCTGATTAATACACTGTTCATTACTGCCCCCTCCCCCAGCTTGACCCTGAGTGGTGGAAGGGGAGGATTTGAAGAGAACTGTTTTAGGAGGATCCTGGTACCCAACCCCAAACTTTGGGGTTGATTGCAGGATCTTCTGATTGTGAGGTGGAAGTGATACCTATCCAAGAATTCCATATCATAATAACAACTGAAAATAAAACATTATACAATGTGATAGACAGAGGCATGCAACATCCGTTGTATTTTATAGAAGAAATTTAATTTGAATCATCATTTCAGCATGTGACCATATCCTCTTTTTGATCATTGGGGATCTAGTTCAAATCCAGTCAATGTTAATGGCTGGGTCATACGGTCTTGATTACAGCCAGAAATATGCATGTCCGCAAGCATGCCGTGAAGATAACCTAACTCAAAATTCACACATTTCGAAGCGATCCTTACTATTACTACTTGAAAAAAAAACTATTAATTCTTTATTAACTTTAATAACCCAGTTTCCTTGCCATCTTCTATAAACAAAATGCAGACTAATACAAAACCAGAAATATATTTTAAGGCGCACACACACACACAAAAACAGTTCCCCAACCATGCGTCTATGGCAAACAAAGCAACAGGATAACGCAACTAAACACACGCGACAGTTTGTTTAATCGTATGTAAATTGGTTAACTGGATAAGACTTTTGGTAATGTGTATTGCCATTTCACCCCCCGAGAAATACAGTCAGCAGCCAGTAAGAAAGGTCAAAATAATTTGTGTATGCCCATAGCAGTAAAGATACAGAAAAAGGAAGACGCAGAAATAGTTCTTAACAATCTAGGTACAGGGCAAACATACAATTATGTCCATGAAAGTGAAAGGTTTAAACAAGAACACTGTAATATTCTTCTTCATCATCTATGATCACTAACTCCAATCTCCGGCAGAAATGTCCTGTTTAGCCATCTGTGTCTGGACTTTTGACTTGTTCCAGGACTTGACTGTTGCATATTTACAGAACTGACTTGTGTCCAGACTCCAGGTTCTCCACCATACAGGCAGATGGGCTTCGACTTTGAAGAGAATGTTGATTCTATCTATTTTGGCTAGACCCCCACTAGGGAACCTGTTTCCAGGATGATTTTTCATAGGTGAAGACAGATCTTGACAAGTTTGAGCCCAAATCCTGTTGCAAAATCCTATGTGGTGATGGATCTCTGCATCCCAATGTAATATTTGACAACTTAGGTTAAAAAAAAAAAACTTTAAAAAATTAATTAAATGCAAAGAAAAGGATGCTAAAACAAAATAGTGAAGTAAAATCTTAAAAAGCAGTAAGTTTACTTACTTTACGAAAGAGTGAGGTTTTTGTTGCCACACGCTGACACTGCTCATTTTTACTTGCATATTGTTTGTTCTGTAAAAAAAAAAGTTAGAAATACTGATTTAACACAAAGTTAAAATGCAAAGTACTGTTTTTTCCTGCTGTGCTGGCAAGCATTGGTCTTGTGCTTTATGGAGAGTTCTGGAGAGGTGGCTAGTCATGTGCAATGAATAGATACTTTTTTAAATTTTAAACCTGTTTTAATCATCAAGTCATAAAGCACTTACTTAAAACTAGTGTGTGTGTGTGTGTGGGGGGGGGGGGAAGAGTGATTTTTGTCACAGGCATAAGGGAAAGTTAAATCTGATGGCATGTGTAGAAGGAGATCCTTTGTACCTCACCTAGGGCTCCAGCCTTCTCCGTGCTGGTTTTACAGGACCTAATGCAAGACTCCTGCTGCACGTCCCCGTCGTGCGCCATGGATAATGTCTCAAATGAGAATTAACAGAGCTGACAGGGGATCTCAGAGCTGGTGAACCCCAAAGATGTAGGGTCCAGTCGGACTCTCATCAGCCCACCCCTAATGCATGGGTGAAAACGTCTATCAAAACTCATTTGGAACATGGGGAAAGTCAGCTTGCCGAATGCACCACTAAATGACAACTCTCGGTTAAAAGTCTGTCAAGTGAAAGGAAAATTAAACTGCTGAGACTCGGCTTTAGACCAAGGGATTGGCCCACAGCTTTGATGAGCAACATCTCCTGTGGACATTTTCTCGAGATAAAATCTTGTCTTTGTTCATCCTCTGTCATCCCTCAGCGTCGTCGTCACAGTGCTGAGGTACACCATGACAGCCACTGTCAGTCTGCTGGTTAGGTTCAAATGGCATACAAGCACGACCGTCACAAATCCTGCTAATTGGCAAAAAGGTTCAAATGTCCATACTAACTGTCTCTACTTGCCAAAGTGTTGGGACCAAACAAGGGAACCCATACCTGGTGCACGCCTCTCCATTCTGTTGTGCTAAGGGCATAGTTGAAACAACGTTAAAGATGTCTAATGTGATGAAGAAGAATGTACTTATTTGTGTGGTATCAAAGTCCTGGACTTGCTTACTGGTGATCTCCCGAGGGCCAGCTGTGAGGTTAAGCAGTCATGTGCAGGACGTGACGAATCCTTGGGTGAGCCCAGGGCCAGAGCATTTATGGAAGCCTCTTCGTATGGCAGGGAATTCCCTTGATCTGCCCCAGTCTTCCCTTGAGGTCTGACCAGTCTACATAGAACTGCCCTTAAGGGGTTTTCCAGGATCAACATCTGTAGACAAAGGGACAAAGAGGACACCACACACTGGGGTTATATCATATCCCACGAAACGATGGCAACAGTTATCCTAGAGACAGGAATAGTGTCTACCTTCGAAGTCAGAGTACATCTGCCAGAGAGGCAGGGAACATGAACTGCACACCAATAAGCAGATAAAACGGATTTTCAAGCAAAACTCGGGTTCTGGTACAAAGAAAAAGTGGACAAACAACTAGGACTTTCCACCGGAATTCACAGCCAGTGAACAGACAGAAAAAGAAAACTAGTCAGCTGGCAGCCATTTTTTATGCTAATTAAGGTTACGTCAGTTGATATCAGCATTTCTTTATGTAGTAACTAGTATGTGATTCGTATGACCACCTCATCAGCCCACACAATATAGTATACATCTTGCCAGGGCCGCTGGCAGATAACAATAAATTAATACTGTATTTACTTAAAACCAGTCAGCTGGCCACCATTTGTATATGTTAATTAGGTCACACCAGCTGATAGTGGATATTGGCATTTTTGTGTATGATCCATGTTTCCGCCTCATCAGTCCGCACAATATGGTATGCATATTACCAGCTTCACAGACAACTATAAATTTAAATGGTGTTTAATTATAAATAATTTTTATGTATTAACTTAATATATAAAGGTAACGGTAAAGTCAGAAAAAGTGAACCATGGTCATTGCACATGGTTATAAACCATAAGTGCTCTGCCACCAGTACTGACAGCTGATAAGAAACTGTCCACCTGTATCGCCGTCTGCACGCAACTCTGTAGCTACAGCGACGGAATTTTATTTACCCCAGAGTGTTAGCTCTGGTACCCATTATCTAGAGGCTGGGTGAACCCCGGGAACCGCCCAGTTTCGAACACCGGCGGTGGGCGGCAGCGAGTCGCAGCTGGATTTAAAGTGAGTCTCTTATCGACTGCGCTAATGCGGCCCCTACTTAATATATGAGACATGGGCTATCCTCTGAATAACTGTCCCAAATTACCAATGCCGAAAATATACCCTAACAGGGCCTTAGTCACATGTAAATTGCGGACCTTTTCCGGCAACTACACAGCATACCCTCAAGAGAAATGAAAAGGAGTAAGCTGCATGAGATGCGGTAGCTGCTGCTTGTGAGTTTCAACCATCTAGTTAAGCCCCGCTCTGCGCCGTGCGTAGCGGCAAGGGAAATACTCTCGGCAGTGACTTCAACGTGGCAGAAGCTTTTTTGTGGTATGCTGTGTAGCTGCCGGAAGAGGTCCGCAATTCACATGTGATTTTGACCCAGTTAGGGTATATTTTTGGCCTCCATAATTTGGGACCGTTATTCGGAGGATAGTTAAGACATGCATTCATACTCATTGCTCCGATTGCAATGATCTATAAATTATATAGTTGCTAAGTTATTCCTTAAAAAACAAAACAGTAATGGCTACAAACATTCAGTTATTTCATTCTACATTATAAACAATGTTTTTACTGGGACACAACTCGAGGGAATCTATCTTTTGGCTATCCTCTGAATAACGGCCACATATTATGGCAGCCAAAAAGCACACCCTGACAGGGCCTCAATCACATGTAAATTGCGGACTTCCTCCGATGAGCACATCATGGCAAAACTAGGATTACTGTCCACTGACAATTTCGAGAAACGCAACAATAAACACGATAATAGCGACATGGCAGGGAGAACACGCGCTTCGACACAGGTTAGCGGTATTATTCTTCCAATTCAACTCACAGATGAGCGTATCCCCTCGCCGTAACACGCGGATGGGGGGGAGGGGCTAAACTTGATGGCTGGGACTCACGAGCAGCAGCTTCCACATCTCCTGCAACTTCCTCCAATTTATTTGCTTGTGAGTCCCAGCTATCTAGTTTAGTCCCCTATCTGCGCTACACTACACGGTGCAGGAGATACTCTCGGCTGTGAAAACTGCATTACCAATGCAGCACCCATCCTATTAAGCCAAGTTTCAATGGTGTCACAGCCACAAAGAGCAGATTTTCGGGCACTAATTGCAATTTCTGTGCCACTATTTTCAGATATAAAAGCCTTAATTATCACTAAGTAGTTGATTTCGTCATTTTCCCTTTTTTTTTCCATTCATCATTATTTTCGAGTTCAAGTTTTTGAATGTTTACAACACACGACATAATAAGACCCTGTCAGGGTGTGGTCGCCATAATATGTGGCCGTTATTCGGAGGATAGCCCATCTTTTTGTCTATGGTATCCGCCACTAAAATCCTAAAACCTCCGCTTAGAATTGACTTCATTGGGTCATCGTTGGATTTTATATTTTAATCTGTATCCAGCTTTGATGGTTTCATAAGTAAAACTCCAATATATAAAACTCCACTAACATCCATACGAACAATAAACTAATAAACAATAATAATAATAATAATAAATAAAATAGTCAAAAACAATTTTTTTAAAGCAACCTACCGTTTGAATCCACTGCAGATGTCGCTGCTTGACAGAATTAAACAATCCTTTAGTACCATTTCGACTCCTAATTACAGTAAATGATCTGTGACATGTCTGGGCTTCGTATGCAGTTCTTTTCAATGATAAATGTGATAAGAGAAAATGACATTTCAGTGTACTTCTGGAAAGCAGAAGTACAGCCATTTTCATTGCAGAACAAGATTTTAGAGTTACGTCCCTTAGACAGGGATAGTGAAAATTGAGATTTTACAACAATTTTCCGTCTAAGAACAGGAAGGATACTGTATTATACAGTGTATGATCAACTACCACGTGCATAAAATAAAGACACACAGACCATACAGTCCCCACAGTACGCATGTCAGATAGAACTACGTACACACGAGTACATTCTCAGAGGCCTGCCCACTAGAGAAACCTGGCCTCGAGAGCAAAATGTGTAGAGCAAGCTTTGTGGAACCGCGATGGACCCGCAACGGACGTGCGTATTTATGATAGAGATAGGCCAACTGAGGATCGTATTACACTTATTAGCCATCCTTTTCAGGATGAAATTTTTCATTATTCGAAGCCCTACCCTGGCTTTTTATAGGGGCCGCAATATAGCCAGGTCATAAATATGGCCTAAACGCTGAACGCGGTTTCTGGGACCTCTCCACGGTGATCCTCATCCATTTGGTGACACATTGTGTCATCGGGTGTTTATCGCTTTTGTGATGTCCTGGTGGGGTAGAAAGTCAGTCAGTCTGACGATCATATATTCCCGTACCAATGTGTGACGCGATTTTATGTTTTTGCAATGCCCCACCCCGTCATTCATCGGGAGCATTAAATGTAACGGATTAAACGATGATCTGCGGCTTGAGGCCGGGTGATTCTCGTCCGAATAGTGGCACTTTGCGTCACCAAGTGTTTATCGCTCTTCGTGCGGTCCTTGTGGAGGTTGAAAGTCAGTTGGTCAGACGATCTGACCTGAGCTTATGAAACTGAACGCAACAGAGATTTTGCAAGAATGCAGCGACGTCGAATTAACCTATATACTAACCAACCTAACCATATCACTAAAGTCCGAGCAGGATAATATTTGGAAGTGTGAAGGTATATGGTATAGAAAATAGCAAAAGTGTGTTATGGAAATATGAGAAGCAGCAACGAAATGAATCTTAAATACTGTCATTATGGGGGGGGGGGGTTTAAACCAGCGGTGGTGGAACCTCGGGGCACAGACACATGGGCACAACCGCCCCCCCCCCCCCCACACACACACAAACACATTTAACTGCCCACTAATAATTTAAACAGAAAAGTGTGGGGGGGGGGGGTTGTACATCATAAGCACCCCTTCCCCATAGCAAATTTGCAAGGAACTAATATCCCCCCCCCCCATCCACCTAAAAGTATCATAAATAAACGTTTTCTTGTTGAGTATTTGTTTACACTTCTTGACTGGCGCCTCGAAAGAGGCGGCTTCTGGAATTGGAAGCGTCTGCACAGGTGTTGCTGGCGCCTCAATGGGAGATGCTTCTGGTGTTGGTGGCGCCTCGATAGGAGCGGCTTCTTTTGGTGCCGATGTAGACCAGGCGGCGTGGCTGGTATTTTGCCTCTGTTGGCCGGTCTTCTTCCGTCTTGGTTGTCCATCACGTGGTATGATAAAGCCAGGTATGTGCTGACAAAGAGCTAGCTGTGAAAACTATAGTGCTTACTCGCTGTTTCATTCAGGTGACTAGCTATAGCTTCGTCTCTGATAGGTTACAAGCCTGGCTAAAAAGCTCCTAGAAAAACTTCCTGGGTGCTCCCAACACATTTAAAAAATGACCTTGTCTCTCGGGTTGACTTAGTCTTGATTGGTACCAGGTAGTCCTGCTAATCTATAAAATATAGTTCTAGCTCAATGTGCCGACTGGTCTATAAAATATAGTTCTAGCTCAATGTGCCGACTGGTCTATAAAATATAGTTCTAGCTCAATGTGCCGACTGTTCTATAAAATATAGTTCTAGCTCAATGTGCCGACTGGTCTATAAAATATAGTTCTAGCTCAATGTGCCGACTGGTCTATAAAATATAGTTCTAGCTCAATGTGCCGACTGGTCTATAAAATATAGTTCTAGCTCAATGTGCCGACTGGTCTATAAAATATAGTTCTAGCTCAATGTGCTTAATACGCCCGAAGGCTTGGAAACGGTTCATTTCCCTTTCTTTTGTTTCTTGGTTCCTGTTTTAGACTATTATGAATTAATCAAGTAACAGAAAGTGTATTGATCGGCACTCATAGAAAGAAGTAGATAGAAAGAAGAACACACTAGACAACATAAAAATCGAGAGCTATAGTTACCGTTCCGGGAATTGAACCTGTCGCCTCCAGACGGCGTCTGCGCCTCGCCATGGATACAAGTGCACTACGAACATAGTCAACCAGGCACCCCCCCCCCCCCCCCACTGAAGTAAGAATTCGCGTAGAATGGGCTATAGCAGTGGGTTTTAAACCTTTTTTCAGGTGGCAACCCCTTGAAATCATGGCAAGACCCCTACGCCTCCCACCCAGCTTTAAAGGAAATATTATTAGGAAGAAGACTACAAACAGTAAAACTGGAAGTACTATTAATAAGAAATTTGAGAAAAATATATACATGATTTAAAGTTTTAGGTAACAGAAATATTAACTAGCGACTGGTAATTTAGTGTCCAAATATCAATGTGAAATTGGGCTTTTCTTTGTCTTGATGAAATCTGCTATTGGTCTGCTGTAGGACAAGGCACACATAAGATCACCTTCCACATCGAGCTGGAAGCGCTGTTTTGTTTTTATGACTGTTAAACTCTGATTTATAATTAAAGTGAAAAAAATTATAGCGTACAAGATTATTACAAGGACAAAAGAATTCAATTTCAGAACTGCTTGACGTCCCGTGAAACTTCCATAGGAGGTGCTCCCAGGTTAACAATCACCGGGTTCAAGTTTCAGAAGAATTGGACAGAAGAAAGTAAGCAATTAAACTTTGTTTATAGCAAATAAGTCTACGAGTTGCTCGGTACTTAAAAAGTTAAAGCCTGCAGTGTACACAGATAAATAACACGGATCACATTCACACTCCTCAAGGCTGCAATAAATAACGAAACACATTTCCACGGACAGCATGTGATTAACGAGCAAACTATGTGAATATAAACAGAATGAACAATAACAAAGACACATATGGCAAAATAAAACACGGAGGGGAGCTATTTCAGGGCAGACTGTATGACGCTGGAGAACGTAACAGGTAGGGTCAGATCCGGGAAACTGACAGCCGGCAACGAGGAAAAGTTCACACGGCTTGACAGTGATGATTGTGGAAAAGTAGAGAAACCGACACTTTCTGGGCCGGGAAAACTTCTTGGGAGCGAACCTACTTGTTAGAAGGGATTATTTTAGCTGTTAAGAGAAAAAAAGAAAGATCGATGAAATATCAGATGTTTTTTTTACCGGTGGACCACGGAGAAATCCGGGTGGGTCGCGAAAAATTGCTGCCAAGCTGTTTGGAACCCCCTCCTCCCCCCCCCCCAAAAAAAAATCAATAAGATATTAAATGTCTATACCAATTTTTTTTTTCAACCGGTGGGCCGCGGGGAAGTTCGAGTGGGTCACGTGCGAAAATAGGTTGCCTAATCGCGTAATGGAGTAGGGCATATAGTTTTTATTTACTAACACATCAATAGAATCAAACAGGTGCAAACCTCGGAAACCATATTCAACCAGATAAAATGGGCACTCTACGGTTACGTAACCTATGGTCACGTCTGGGTTTGGGAATAAGGACTATAACTCATGTAGCGGTTGTATAATTCCAGCACAACATTGCAGCAAAACTAGTACGGAGAAAACTGGAGTACATCGTGACGGTAGGAAAGTTGGAGGGGAGGAGAAGCAGGGGGAGGCCGAGAGAACAGATACTGGACAGTTTGACGTCATGACATGAAAGATCATCTGTGTCAGAGTGGATTGAAAGTACACAAGACAGAAGGTTGTGGATCGACATGACTACCAACACCACACGGGTTGGACTTTGAGAAGAAGAAGATACGTGTAATTAAACAGCAGTAGCCCACATAATTTGTTCATGTTACAATTAAATGACACTAGAGAACATCGTGGAATGTCAAATAGTCAGCGATATAATAGATAGTTAGACTGAGAGAAATGATGCTCGACTGTCTTAAGGCCGTGAATTGGAGGGCTATAATTAAATTACCTTATCGTGGCACCGCAGTAGAGCACTGGCTAACCGCTTCACTGGCGGCTCTAAGTCTTTAGTGTTGGGGTTCAATTAGGTAAACAATTACCGGACCCTTTTCGCGCCAATGCGGCGTCCTTGCCTCAGGCGTTTCGAGTGCGACTAGTAATTTCAATGTACGGCGATCGAAATCCACTAATGGCAGCGTGGATTTTTATCGTGGTACGGGGCGTCGCAGGTCGACCCAGCCTAAAATGGGTACCAGGGTGTATGTCCTGGGAAAGTAAAGACGGCTGGCGCTATGCTGACCACATTACCCACCTAGTGCCGATTGGTCTGTAAAAATATGGGTGCTCTTCTCAAATACCCGATGCACCCAAAGGCCTGAAAAAGGATCTTCACTTTACTTTTTTCGCGCCAATACCAAAGCAGTCTACACTTAATAGACAGTTTGATCAGCTGCCTTTACTTTCCATATATTTCCAGTAGTCAAAAGTGAAAAAACAAACCTCTACCACCCCTTTATTAGTTTTGGGCGCATAGAACTATATTTTAAAGACCAGTTAGCACTCGGTGGGTGATGTGGTCAGAAAAAGTCCTCCTCCTTTCGGACTTGAACCCATGCTCTTCGGATTCGCATGTCAGTAGCTAGCCGCTGCACCACGGCAGATCTCGTTGAAGTCATATCTAACCCAAAAAATGCCTTGATGAGTATTCGAACCCCAGACTTTCAGGTCAGCAGGTAAGCCTCTATTGGAATACCCATACTGTAATCTTAAGACAACTGAATTTCACCATGTGACACTTCATTCATTTTATCACAGTGTGTGACTTCCTCGTCACGGCCGTACAAGGTCAGCTCTCGAATCCACAGGTAAACTTGAAATAAGACAGATTTGACCAAGTCCCCCCACAGTTAAATATACCAGATTTTCCAATGACAATCTCTCCTACCCTTTTCCATTCTCCTG